GGGGGCAGGCACAGGGGGGTGGGGGCATCGACCTGGAATCTGCGGCATGTCGCCGAGAGCTCGGCGATAGCCCACAGATAGCAAGCCCTCACGGTCCTCGGCGGGCTGGGCCGTGGCCCCCCATCGGCGATCATCGGGGGCGCGCAGATCCATGGCTCGGGGGGGAGGTGCCCTCCCCAAAGTGCGGCCAGTGCTGCCTCGTCCAGCGGCGGAACTCCGCGACTTTTCCCGTGGAAACGAGGCCCGCCGCTGATCCACGCCCCCTTGATCCTTACAGTCGACCCGTGTAATAAGGATGCGCGGTAAGGATGCAAGGGCCTTGGAAGGCCCATGTCGGCACTTTTCGAGCGGGGCCGGCCAGCGAAAGTTGCCAGAGATGGGCCGAAGGGGCAAGGGTGCAAGGGTAACCTTGGGAAGGTTGCTCATCCTTACTGCGCGGGTTGACTGTACTTGCGAACTCCTGAGATCAGTGGGCGATTTGGGGGGTCGATGCGTCCCCCGTGAGCCTCTCCCCCTGACGCTGCCCCCGACAGCCTCGGGGTGAGCCGGCGCGGCAGGGACGGCGCCCGGACGCGGCAGCGGGCCCCACCACGGCAACCGCCCGCGGACCACGTTTGGATCGGCGGGCTCCTGCGTGGCGGGTTGGGGCGACCCTGGGCAAGAGTGACCTCTGGTGCGCGGCTTTTTCGAAGGGGCCCTGGGACACACCAAGGAATACACACACATATTTCACAGGATTTTCCCCATACTTCCCTACATCTTCTGGGTTCTTGTCTTCCCCCCCACTTCCCAGATGTTCCTATATTTTCCTGGGGATCGACGATGAATTGTGCCTGTGTGTTCCTTCCCCTCCTGAGAAAAAACTGGGCGCGCAGGCCGCTGCGCCGTGGCATCGCGTGCGTTTCGCTCTCCGGGGGGGCCCCGCCTGGGCCCGCACCGCAGAGGCCACTCCGGCGAAGGGTCGCTCTTACGTGGAGGCAAGGGGAGAGGACGAGGAGAAGGTGGAGGAGTGGGACGCACATGGACATACTAATACCATATGTCCTCCTTGGAGGCGCGCGTCCGACCCGAACATACAGTATACCCATCTTGTAGTATATCGTTTTCCGAGCGGTGTGGCCAGAAAGCGCCCGCCACGACGCATATACTGCAAGATTTCTCGGTGCGCGCGTCGCCCCTGGGGGGGCGACGAACACATAGTATAAGTATGTTGGGGGGATGCCGAAGGAGGGCCCAGAGCGCTTCGCGTCGTACAACATAACATCCAACAAAAAAAACAATAACAAAGAACGCCGGGTGATTGTTCACAACATCAACCTCCTGGGGCCCTCACCCGGGGCGTCAAGAATTACACACTCAGAACGAAAAAACCTGTCCCTGGGAAGGGGCCCAGACCTCTGGGGGTCCACGCCATGAAAAAAATCGCGACGTCCGGGGGGGTCTGAGGAGGAGGATCGATGGTCTCAAGGCTCCTTGTTCGCCTGGGGCCCCCTACCGGCCGCGCAAGACGGCAAGGGCGCCTGGAGGTCCCCGAGGGCCTCCAGAGCCCTCTGGGGGCCCTCCAAATGCCTCCGGAGACTTCTGGATAAGGAGGGGGATGGGGGAGACAGATGGCAAACACCAATGCTCCCCGAGCAAATTCTGCTACGCACAACAAGAGAAGCCAACTAAGTTCGACCATGCAGGCAAGCATAGACGCACGTCTAGACATAGACACCAGCATCGACCAACGAATCCGTGCAGCGCCGTTTCCTCTCTCCACCTGCTGGCCCTCCTTTTCCCCCGCTTCCTCCGCTTCCTCCTCCTCCTCCTCCTCCTCCTCCTCCTCCTCCTGATCCTCATCGTCCTCCCCCTCATCCTCCGCCGTCCCCCCTGCCCCTTCGCCTCCTCCTCCTCATCGTCCCCCTCCTCATCCTCCTCCAACTCCTTCTTCTCCTCCTCCTCCTCCTCCTCCTCCTCCTCCTCCTCCTCCTCCTCCTTCTCCTTCTCTACCTCCTCCGCCTCCTCGTCCTCCTCCTCCTCCTCCTCGTCCTCTTCCCTCCTCCTCCCGCTCCCCCCCCTTTGTACCGATCGCGCGTTGCCGCCTGCCTGGCGAGGCGGGCGCTCGCTGGCGGGCTCAACACACAGGGAACCCACATCTTACGGTCAACAGCCCCCCACGGCACAGCCAGCAGGCTCAAGCCGTGCCGACGTCCCACCTCTCACCCTCCCTCCGCCGCCTCCTCCTTCTCCTTCTCCTCCTCCTCCTCCTCCTCCTCTCCTCTCCTCCTCCTCTCCTTCTCCTCCTCCTCCTCCTCCTCCTCATGCTCCTCCTCCTCTTCCTCTTCCTCGTCCTCCTCTTCCTCCTCCTCGTCAACCTCCTCCTCCTCCTGCTCCTCCTCATCCTCATCCTCATCTTCGTAATAATGATCGGAATTATCATCAGTATACTCTCATCGTTCTCATCATCATGATTTTCATTAATCAGCATCATCGTCATCGTCTGCAGCAACAGCATCATCGTCACAGCAGTAACAGCATCATCATCACCAGCACCATCTTCAGTTCCATCAGCATCATCATCGTAACCCTCCTCATTATCAGAATCAGCATCACAATTCAGTATCAGTATCATAAGCAGAAAGTCAGCATCATCACCAGCATCATCATAATCATCACCATGATCAACATACTCAACGTCACCAGCATCATCGGCAGCAGCAGCAGCAATACCATCAGCATAACAGCACCATAATCAAAATCGACAGCGTCAGCATCAGTATCATCAGTATTCCAGTCCTGATCATCACAATCATCGCAATCGCAATAAACATTCCATAGCATAATCCTCCTCATCCGCATCGTCCATCACCAGCGTCAACATCATCATCAGCATCGTCACTATCATCAGCATCATCTCACTCATAATCGGCATCACCATCACCATCGTCTTCATCATGAGTATTATCATCAGTACCATCATCAGCAGCAGCTTAATAAAAGCAGCAACATCATGAGCAGCAGCAGTGGCAGCATCGGCATCAGTCACCAACATCACCATCAGCATCATCGACGTCATTAACAGCATCATCATCAACATCATACATATTATGATAATGTTCGCCATCGCCGTCGTCACATCATCAGTTTCACACGCAGCAGCATTACCATCGCCATCATCACCAGTAGTATAATCATCACCAACTAGTATAATCATCACCACTAGTATAATCATCACCATCATCAGCATCAACATCAGCATCAGCATCGTCTTGATCATCGTATGCATCAGCATCACTGACACAACCATCACCATCATCATCATCGTCATATGATCACCATCAGCACCCCCGAACCTCATTATGATCCTCCTCATCCTCCTCTTGTCCTCCACATCTCATCCTCCTTCTCATGTGTTGTTGCCTTCTCCTCCTTCCGCTCCCTCCTCCACCTCCTCATTCTCCCCTCCTCCTTCTATCTTCTTCTCCTCCCGCTCACCCTTCTGACCCTTCTCTCCATCTGCTCCGCCTCCTCCTCCTCCTCCTCCTCTCCTCCCCCATCCTTCCTCCTCCTCCTCCTCCTCCTCCTCCTCCTCCCCTTCCTCCTCCTCCTCCGCCTCCTCATCATCCTCTTCTTCCTTCTCCTCCTTAGCAGGGCTAGTGCAGGGTAGCCCAGGGACACTATTCCCTGGGAGAGAGAAACCCCCATCGTTGTCCAGCCCGCCCAACAGTAGAGGGAAACGAATCCCATGACACCGCGCGCGACGAGAGAGTTCACCGCCGAAAGAAGGGGGGGGTTAAAACAAAAACAACGCTCTGAGGTTATATATATATATATATAGCGCAATCTATGCTGTGGGGTCTTTGTCGGGCGGCGACGGGAAGGCGACGGCGGCAACATAGCCGCCAGACGGACGCGCGGACCCAGGCGTCGTGCGTCGACGAGTCGGCGACGGGGCGGCGACGGCGGCAACAGAAGTTACCCAACAGACCGACGCACAGCCCCAGACGCCGAGCGGCGACGAGGCGGCGACGGGGCGGCGACGGCGACAACATAGCCGCCAGACGGGCCCGCAGGCCCAGTTCCATAGAAAAGAGGTAAGGGCCCCCGAGTGCAAGCACTGCTTGAGAAACCCTGCCAGAAGAAGAATCTGCGAGCACACCCTTCGTCGGCTCCAGGCCCCGTGCGGCGTCCCCAGGCTCTGCGGGACCGTCGGGAGACGAGAAGCTCTGTCGCGGGGCACCCGCCGGCAGGCCGGTGTCTTCCCTGGTGCTCGCTTCTACTGCGAGGTTGGCTCCCTGGGATGCGTGCCCGCCCGCCCTTCCGACTGGGAACGGGCCCCCTCTGAGGCTCAAGCTCGGAGAGGCCCCCCGCCCCGAGCCTTGCTCGAGAAGGCTTCTGCCTGGGCGGTCCGCGTCCGGCGCGACTCTTGCTGTGCCCGCCGGGGCTCCACGTCGCCAGAGTCCCCTCTGGGGGGCCCTCGGGGCTGCGTCAGAGGACTCGGCATCCTTGGGATCCTGTGGTTCTCCAGGTTCATCGGTTGCCTTGGCCCCCGCCCCCCGAGTTCGTGGGGTCGGCGTGCCAAGACTTGCGCTGGTGTGCGCTGTTGGCAGTATACGAACGTACATGCACAGCATGACGTGAGGCGGCGCGATGAGAGATGTTCGTGTGGAGAGGCTGCGCCATGCAGCGCGAAGTGCAAGCCATCACTGCTTCATGCGTGTGGTATGCGCTGATGTGGTGATGCACTTTACTAGACACTCTTACTGTACTTCTCATTGAATGTGCGATGTGGTACGCGATGTGCTGATGTGCCACAGGTCACGAGAGATCTACACGGTGTGCGGCAATAAGCGATAGAGTGCCCAGGCATGCCAATGCTATGATACGTCGTGGCATTATGCTTTTTATGTTATGCAACGCCATGCGGATGCTGTGCTATGACAGGGCGTGCATCTGTGCAGTGGCGACGCACTGTGTCGGGCTAGCCGTGTGATGCGCTGTGGCATCATCACGTTATGCCACTGCGCCACTACCATCGGAGAAAAGAGAAACTCCCCCACGGCAGGCTCGCGTCTTGACGAACCCGGCGCCGGCCCCTGACCCCGCGGGGACCGTTCAAAACCTTGAACGATCGGCCGCTTCCGACACGTCAGTTGGCGGCGCGCCGAGGGGGATAGGGGGAGGGGGGGGAGGGCTTCTGAGAAGGAGGCTGCTTCTCAGAAGGCGCCGGCCTGACATTTGTAGACGAGGCCCGCGCCCTCTGAGAAGCAGGGGTGCTTCTAAGAAGCCCTTCCCCCCTCCCCATAACCCCCCTGTGCGCGCCGCCAGATCAGATCGCTCGACGCCCGCCGATGCTGGGTCGCCGGCGGCCTCCGATGCCGAACGCCGGTCGCGGGGCCGCGGCCAGGCGACGCGGCGCGGAGCTGCCGCGGGCGGGGAGCCGCTCGGGCCGCCTCGAGCTGCGCCGCGGCGCCGCGCGCCCCCCGGGGCGGCCCGCGCGCCCGAGCCCCCTAGAGGCTCAGGCTGCCGCTGCCCTCGGAGCCGGCCTCGACGCGCGGGGGGAGGGGGGAGGGGCCGGGCCGCGCCGCGCCCCACGGGGCAGGGCAGGGCGGCGAGAGAGGAAGGGAGGCCCGAGCCCAGCCCCAGGGTCAAGGCTCGAGCCCCGCCGCGCGTGTTCCCACGGCCATCGCTTCGGGCGTGCCCGGTTGGTGCCGTGGCTTCGTCGCTGCTGTGCTGCGCGTGTGTGTGCTTCTCGATGATCCAGGGTGCTCCCGGGTGGTCCCCGCCGAGGCAAGAGAAAAGCGCACCTCCGAGCGATGCCGGGTTGCCGTTCTCGTGCTGTTGTCGTGCTATCCCTCGCTCTGTCTTCGTCCCACCCCTGCTGCGACAACGGGATCGGGACGAAAGAACGGCCAAGAAGTTGCCAGAACACAAGTTAGCTCGAGCCCTGCCCCAGGACACGCACTTCGTCTTGCCACGTCTGTCGGGCAGGCCGACGAGGAGGGGGGGGTCCAGAAGAGCGCGGACGCAGCGCAGCAGGGCCCGAGGCGAGCGCGCGGACGAAAAGGGGGGGGGGGGCCAGGAAGCGCATGGAAAGCAGAAGAGGGGCCCGTGAGATGCGCGGCCGGACCCAGGACAGAAGAACATCCTTCGAGAGCGTGAGACCCTCCGCCGCACAAAAGTGAAGAAGACTCGAGGGTACCCTCCCTAAGGATGCACGCTCGTGCATCCAATAAGCACGGAGAACATGAGGCTATCCTCCCCGAGCCGACCTCGACCTTATACCTCGGTCCGACCTTAGGATCAGGTTGGGAATGTCCTCCTACAGGCAGATATTGGACGAAGAATCCGCCGACCCTGTCGGCGTGTGTGAGGGGCTTGTCCGTGCAAGTCGTCATCTCCGTCATTCGTTGGTCGTCGTCTCTGTCGCCCCCTTTCCCTGCCTCCCCCCTTTCCCTGGGCTCGTCGAAGCTCCCCCCTTTCCCAGGGACCTCCTCAGCGCGCCAGCCCAAGCGAAGTTGAGCGACGTCGTAATTGAGTCGAAGGGAAGCCCCTTCCCTTCGATCCCTCCCCCGCCAGAGGGGGGGGCCCCGGGGGGTGGGGGTCAGATACGACGCCCCCCCCCGGGAGTCCCGCAGCCCAAAAAAGCCCCAAGACGGGCTAAGAGTGCCCCAAGAGGCCCCAAAGACAGTCCAAGAGAACCCTGAATCGCCGAACGATCTGTCCAAGATGCCTTGACGGCCCCCAGACGGCCCAAGAGGCCTGCAAAGAGCCCCAAGAGGCCTCCAGGAGCTTTCCCACGAGAGCCCCAAGAGGCACAATTCATGGATGTCCCATACGTTTTTGAAAGATTTGGGCGTTCTTGCCTCTTCCGCTTCCCGACGCGCTAAGACGGCCCAAGAGGCCCCTAAGATCGCCCCGAGACGGCCCAAGACGGTCCAAGACGCCTCCAAGACGGCCCAAGAGGCCCCCAAGACGGCTGCAGGAGAGTGCCCAGACGGGGGACCCGAACGGACATTTCGAGCTCTCAGCCCCAAGAGGCCCCCAAGAGGCCCCGAAGCTGCCCCAAGACAGCCCAGGAGAGCCCCAAATTGCCCAGGAGGCCTCCAAGAGAGCCTCGAGACGGCGCAAGAGGAGCCCTAGACGGCCCAAGACGGCCTGAAGAGAGCCCCAGGCGATCCCAAGAAAGCCTCTGGCCTCCTCCTCCTCCCCCCCCTCTGCTCCCCCTCCTCCTGCTCTCCTCTGCCTCCTTCTCCTCCTCTTGCTTCTCCTCCACATCCTTCTCCCCCCTCCTCCTCCCTCATCCACCTCCTCCACCCTTCCTCCACCTCCCACTCATCCTCCTCCCCCTGCCCCCCCTCGTGTTCATCTTCGTCGTTCTCAGGGTCGGCGGCACCGGCCGTAAGGCCTTCGCAATAAGAAATATTCCAAATTTATTCGAAAGCAATCAAAAATAATAGAAACATCCTCCCCTGGCAATGTTTTCTTTTGACTATTCTTGGGTAATTAACCCTCCTGTAGAGGGGCACGCCCGACTTAACGTTAGGCTACCCTCCCCGAACCGACCTCGATCTTATACCTCGGTCCAACGAGAGGAGATCTCGTTGCCCCGACCATGGTGTCCACGCCCACCAGGCCCTCACCCCCTCTTGGACGCCCCCGATGCTCTGGACGCCCGAAATGGGCACGAAGAAACTAGGTACTCTGGATGAGGTATTGATCAGGGGGGGATCAACCTCACGACTGAGCTTGCCCAAATCCCGCCCCCTCCGTCCTCCTCCCCCCCCTCCTCCTCCTCCTCCTCCTCCTCCGATCCCCCCACCACCCGTGCCGACAGCACGTGCCGAAAGCCCCCAACGGATTCCAGGGGGGGCGATGGCTGTCGCATCCAAAGTACGATGCCCAACAACAGAAGCTGCCCAAAACCGGCACGCGGCCGCTGTTGGCCAGGCGAGCCTGTGTCTCACATGCACAACAAATCTCCGCGACGCCGACGGCGTCGCGGAGATTGTTGTGCACGAAACGACGTAGTGACCTGTCACGAAATGGCAAATCTGCACGATCAAAAACAAGTCTTACACGAAATGACGTAGCGACCTTGCGCAGTGGCTCACGCGGGCCGCCTGCACGACACGCCACATCTGAAGCGAGGGCGCTTACGGGAGGCCTCACGCGGGCAGCTCACGCGACAACGCTGGCGAAGACGACCCCGTTTTCTTTGTTGCGCCGCTCAACTGCTGCTGGGCTTCGCTTTGTACCCATTGCTTCCGTACCCCGTTCGCCCACCCCGAGATGTTCGGCCACACGCAGGAGTGACCCTGGGTAAGAGTGACTTCTGGTGCGCGGCTTCTGGGGGGCCGCGGGGGGACCAAACACAGGCGCGCCAGGCGCTACTGCCGCCCCGCGTTCGGCGATCGGGGGACCCCACCGTGCCCGCACCAAAGGTCACTCCGGCGAAGGGTCACTCTTAATTACGTTCGGCCGAGTTGCTGACAGCCCCGGGGGGCCCCGAAGCGGCCCCGGCCGAGCCGGCCCGAGAGCGGAGACGGGCGCGGGGGGCTGCGGCAGCAGAGCACGCCGAGGCCTGCATCTCCGGGGGGCCTCCACCGAAGGCCTCCAGAGGCCTAGCCTCTCGCCCCTCTCCCCCACCCCACTCACACAGAAGCACACACACACACACGTACACGTACACACACAGACGCACACCCACACACGTACACACACACACACACACACACACACACACACACGCACGCACGCACGCACGCACGCACGCACGCACGCACGCACGCACGCACACACACACACACACACACACACACACACACACGCACACGCACGCACGCACGCACGCACGCACGTACACACACACACACACACACACACACACACACACACACACACACACACACACACACACACACGCAACACGTGCTCTCTCTCTCTCTCTCTCTCACGCACAGGCACACGTACACGCATACACACACACACACACACACACACACGCGGGGACGCGCGGCATACTAATGAAGCAGCAGCCAGGCAAGGAGGAAGAGGGCGGCCGCAGAAAGATGGCGGGGAGGGGGCACTCGCCGCGGAAAGAGTTTCGGGATGTGCGGCCGCTGCGTCCAGCCTGCGCTGGTGCGCACGCGCGCACGCACAACACACACACACACACACATACACGGACACACCAGTAAACACAAAACGGCGAAAGCGACGGCGAAGACGCCGACGTCGAAGGCGGCGACGTCGATGCCGGATGCCGGAGGCTGCCACACGCGGAGGAGCTCTTGGCGCCACCCTGTGGCCCCCTGGGCTGCCCTGGGCCTCGTGGGGGGCGCTCTGGAGGCGAGCTGGGCCTCCCCGGAGTTTCTTGAGGCCACCTTCTGCCAGGGCCACATCTGGGAACGCGCGGTCCAGGACCGCCCACTCCCCCTTTCCCCGTTGGAGGGGTAAAGGTACCTCTCAGGCGGGAGCGTCGTTTCGGGTGATCTGGGGGGACCTCTCCGGCAGGAGCTTCCTTTTGAGTGAGTGTTTGGGGGGCCTCTCCGGCGGGAGCAGCACAACACAACACAACCTCACACAGCAACACAGCGCGCGCACTCGAACATCATGCAGCACAACACCACACAACGCAACACCGCAAAACGTCATTGTGGCGAATCATGTAACGTCCACAACGTTTACCACCCTAGTGTCCCTACCTCCCCCGCTTGAGGGGTAAAGGTATGGGTGGACTGGCCCAGTGGCAGAACGTCGACCTGGAATCGGCGAGACATCGCCGATAGATTGGCGGCAGTGGAGGCCTCCTAGGTGGGGTCCCGGCAGATGAGGTCGGAGGATCGCGCCGCATCGCCGATACGTCGTCTATGTATCGGCGATGTGTCGGCGATGTGTCGGCGATGCACCGGCGATACGTCGTCGACGTGGGCGATGCATCGGCGGCGTCGACGTGAGGCAAGACGGGCTCCGCATCAGGCCGCACCGGCGAAGCCTCGGCGGTGCGGCGCGGTTCTCCGATCCCAGCTGCTCCGAGCCAATCTGGGAGGCCCAGAGGTAGGCTCTAGCTCGAGGGGCCCAAGGACACACAAATAAATGCACACAAATAAAACGATTCCCCATCTTTTCCTATGTTTTCTGGGTGTTTGCCTTCCCGCCCAAATTCCCATATTTTCCCATATTCTCTTGGGGATCGACGATTCATTATGTCTGTGTGTTTTGTCCCCTCCTGACTAGCGTGGACTACCAGGCCCATGTCGGCGATGCATGGGAGAGGGGGGGTCGACGCATGGGACCCCTGAGTCTAGCCCCCCTCGAGGTTGACGCTCGGTCATCGAGCCCTACAGGGCAAGTTTTAATCCATAGGATTTTATGCATTTGATTTTTTAATACATGATTAATTTACTGATAAATCAATGCATAAGTTCACCATTGTTTTTAATACTGAATCCCTGTATTTGTAATACATGATCCGCACGCAGAGCATGTATTAAAAACGGCACTGTAACCTGGCTCTTGGCCCACCCTTCGGGACGATTCTGGCACCCCCAGAGCGCTCTCCACGAGGCGCGGCTGATGGAAACCGCCCTGGGCCTCGAAAGCAATCCAAAAACCTAGAAAGTGTTCGAAAACTCCCCCCTGCAGAGACTCCCCCCCCTCACGTTGCCCCGCAGAGCAGCTGCTGGAGAGCACCCCGAGGCGGGAAAACCCGTAGGAACCGAATCACCCGACAAGAACTCAGGCCTCCACCCCTCTGCGGCAGCTCCCCCCTAACACTGCCCCTGACACCCCCCCCTGAGCCCCTGGGCTACAAGAACTTCCGTCGGCGAGTCCAAGATGGGGCCCAGAGGGAGAGGGCCCCAAGGACAGGAAAGTGGATCACAGGTGAAACCTTCACCGCTTGATTCCCTAAGTGCTTGACGCCATTTTCTTCGCTTGACTTGCGGGGGGTCAGTCCAGGTACATCGAAGAGAGGCGAGGTAAACCCAGACAAATCTGTGTGAATCCACACAGATCGAGGGGAATTCGATGATATCCAAGCAAGCATGTGACAAGTCTTGGCAGCTCCAGCGCGAGAGTCGATGGACAGCAGAAGTCATGAAGCCCTCAACGATTGATGCTCTCGTTCTTAGGTTTATGTCGGGCGTGTCCCCCTGCACAGGGATTTTCGACGGAAAATTTTAAAAAATGCCCAAACAATACCCCAAACAGGTAAAACAATACAAAAAAACGTCCCCAGACTGGTTTTGGACTATTTTCTTACTACGCATGTTTGAAACATGTTTGAGTTTTCGTCGAAACTCCCACTGTAGGGGGACAGGCCCGACTTAATCTTAGGCCCCCATCCTTCAGGGCCCCATCTCTACCCTGCCGATGCCCCGTCTGCTGCCGGGGCGCATGGCTCACGTATATAACGGGGCTCCGCGCTCACGGGTCGGCCCATCTCGGGGGCGCGCGCACACGGATCGGGGGAGATGCCCTCCCCACAGAGTGCGGCCGGTGCCGCCTCTCTCGGCGGCGGCAATCCGCGGTCTCCCGCGGAAGCGGGACCCGCCGCGAATCCACGCCCCCCTGATCCATGTTTGCGATCACCTGAAATCACCTCCAAGATGAGCGTCGCTTGACCGATCCCCATCCCCACCAGCGTGGGCTGGGCCCCACTGGCCGGTCTGCCCCCCTATAGATGGGGACATGAGCCGTCCCTTCAGGCCTCGAGGGGCGTATCATCCCCAACCGGGGTGATGATTTGGTGGGGGTCTCGAGGGGGATGAGGATGGGGAATCGGGAGCGGCCAAGAGGGGGGTGTCCAAGAGGCGGGGGTGCAAATCATGACCGGCGGCATGTGCGCGGCCCAGCGGGGGGGCCAGGGACGTGATGAAACAAGCAGAGGCGCCATGAAACCTGGGGAAATACCATGGCCCACACCCTGATATCCCCTCCCCCCCCGGTCATCACCCCTCTCTTTGCCGCCCCCGAGGGTTGGGGGTCGGATCCACGATGCTGACCATCGCCGGACATCACCTCCGAGATCCTCTGGCCGCTCCCGCTCCTGGCTCTGGCAGCCGTCAAGGGGCCCAAGGATACAAATAAATACACACAAATAAAGGGACTCCCACCATATTTTCCCATATTTTCTGGGCCTCTGCCTTCCCACCCAGCTCCCACATGTTCCAATATTTTCGGGGGAATCGACGATTCCTTGTGCCTGTGTGCTTTTTCCCCTCCTGGAAGCCACCCGGGGCGCCCTCCCCCCCCCCCCCCCCCGCGGGGGCACCTCCGCGCCGCTCTCCCTGCGCCTTGCAGAGGGGGGGGAGCGCGCTGCGGGGGCGAGCCGCCGCGTGGCCGCAGCCCGGGCCCCCGCGGCGTGGGGCCCGAGGCCGACCCCCCCCCCCCCGGGAGCTTGCGCGGACCCGGGCGCGTGCGTCCCGAGGGTGGGCGACGGCGACGGCGACGGCGACGACGACGGCGACGGCGACGGCGGCGACGACGACGACGACGACGACGACGACGGCGACGACGACGACGACGACGGCGACGACGACGACGACGACGACGACGACGAAGACGGCGACGACGACGGCGACGACGACGACGACGGCGACGACGACGACGACGCCCGAGGGGCGTGGCCAGCCAGCCGCAGGCGCCTCGTCGTCCCCGCTGTCGGCCCAGCCGGCGGCGCCGCCGTCCCGGCCCGCGCTGCAGGCGGTGGACGACGAGCCAGCGCTGGCCTCCTTGGGAAGGGCGCCGACCTGAAGGGGGGGTCCTCCTCCTCCTCCTCCTCCTCCTCCTCCTCCTCCTCTCCTCCTCCTCCTCTTCCTCCCCTCCTCCTCCTCCTCCTCCTCCTCCCCTCCTCCCTCCTCCTCCTCCTCCTCCTCATCCTCCTCCTCCACTTCTGTGTTCCTCCTCTTTCCTCCTCCTCCTCCTCCTCCTCCTCCTCCTTCTCCTCCTCCTCCTCCTCCTCCTCCTCCTCCTCCTCAAGCTCCTCGTCTTCGCCCCTCCCCTTCTCCTCCTCAGGGGGCGGCGGGGAGGGCGGCGAAGACGGCAGCGGCGAGGGCGGCAGCGAAGGAGGAGGAGCTGCGGCTGGCCTCCTTGGGGAGGGCGCCGACCTGAAGGGGCGGATGGGCGGGCTGGGCGTTGGTCAGTGGGGGGGGGCGATAAAGGGAGGGGGGAGAAAGATACAATGGAAGCTCGACCAAACGAGACCTTCTACAAGAAACTCAACCCTGCGAACCCAGGACGTCCATTCATTTTTGGTGTGGGATCGTAACGCTTTCCATCGCCAGACCATCGAAACCCAAGGTGTTTCTTGGCATGGGCTCCCACTGTACTGTACACCGTCCGTGCACCTTCGGGGCCCCAAAGGAGCCCCGCTAGGGCCCCTGCAGGAACCCCCCTTGAGGGCCCCATTGGTCACCCCCCCCACTACGAGACGCCCGAGCGGGGACGGCGGCGAAGACGACAGTGGCGAAGACGGACGCGGCGACGACGGCCGCGGCGACGACGGCCGCGGCGGAGACGAACAGTTCGAAAAGACGACAGCGGCGAAAGCGGCCGCTGACGAAGACGGCCTGCCTCGGGGAACTGGGCGGGCGGGGCGTTGTTTAGAAAGGGGTGCAACAAAAACTATGGGCCAAATCTCCGACGATGTTTTTTTCTGTCAGTGCGGGCGTGTTTCCCGGAGGTCGGCCTCTGGGACCTGCCATCGGGCCCCGGGACCATCAAAAAGAAGGATGCATTGCGGAAAACTGTCCCCCAGGGAAGAGAAGGTCGGGACCTCTGGGGCCGCGCATTGGCAGGAAATCTGACATCGTCGGGTACCTGCGCGGGGAAAATGTGCACCCGCTGTGCGCCTCCGGGGCCGCGCCAAGGGACCCCTCGTTTAGAGCCCCTTGTTCGCACCTCCCGTGCAGCCCTCGACCCGGCGAAAGCGGCCGATGCGAAGTCGGCCGCCCCTGAGATCCGACGTCTCACAAACATTGAAACGTTTCCTGTGCATGTATGTGTCGGTTTCGCGCGTGTCTCTGTTGCTCGATGGTCCAGGATGCTCCTCCTCGATGGTCCTCCCCGGGGGAGGAAGAAGAGAGACAAACAAACACGTCCGAGCGATGCCGAGCAATTGCGCTGCAGCTAGCTGGCGCGCGGCTCTGGGTTTTCGCCTGGTGCCCACCCGACGCCGCCACCTCACCCCCGCGTGCGCCGGCTTCGGGCTCCACGTTTTCGCCCAGTGCCCGCCCCTGGCCGCATCCTCGCGGCCGCGGTCTCGGAACGTCGCCTGGTGCCTGCCTCGTCGCCGCCTCGTCGCCGCCTCGTGCGCTGGCTGGTGGTTCGGGGTGTCGTTTGGCGCCCGCCCGTCGCCACTTGGTCGCCGCCCCATGCGCCGGCTCGTGCTTCAGGACGCACACGTACAGCTAATAAACACATCGATTGCACAACAAGCGTTGGTCCACATCGAGAGCACCACACAGACTCCTCTTCCACAACGGAATATATATATATATATATATTAAAAAAGAGCCGGGGCTGACCGCCCCCCCCCCTCTGGGACACTGCATACTACCTACATGTGACCAGGCCTCGCCGCTCATTTTCAACATGGGGCCAAACCATCCCAGCCACACTAGCACCGCCCCCCTCATATTTGCCAGATGAACCTATGCGCGTGCACGCATTTACCGAGAAAAACCCTCATGTTTCAAGAAGCACATGCAGCAACAACAATTGCGCAAGTCCCACACGCGGGCAAGTGCCGAAATCATACGACTCACATCGATTACGCACGCATTTCAATCAAAAGGAGCTAAAGCTCTACAATTGTGTCTCGCCACATTGGTTGAAAGTTTTCAGCCCGCGCGCATTTGTTGAAGTCATGGCAAACCAATGTGAATTCAACAATCCCGCTCGGAACCCACATTCTCATCCCTCCACGCGTTGCATCCGCGTTGACCCAGTACGCTCCCAATGCATGAGTCCGTCGCGCGCCGCCACGCGCGCGTCTCGCATCCATTCGGGGACCATCAGTTTACGAAACATGTCCAAACAAACAACGAGCAGTCTGCCACACGTTCGTTCGTTTCCAAGCGCGCGCACCTCCTCACCATCACCCCCTTCAAGGGGGGGGGAAGGGAAGGTCTAGATCCAGACCTCTGCTGAATGCGTCTGTTTGCAACAGGGTGCCCCATGGGGGAGACTCCACCCGATCGAAACAGGCGCCCCCAAAAAACAGCCAAGATCTACTCCAGGAGGGGGTAGGATAGGGGGGGGCGTGGGCCCGCGCTGATCGGCAAAACCATAAGCAAACGACTTGATCACACGATGTGTGTTTATGTACCTATATATATATATATATATATATATAGATGTGCTCCTAACGAACCAACTTTGAGCTGTGCAGTATGAAGTCAGTTAGATACGCAGTATCTAGCAATCTGTAGGGGTCCCCAGTGAGAGCCAGATGCTTTAAACAACCAGCCTACAATTTTCGAGCGAGAAACACACAGGAGAAAACCCATGCGAAACGCCCAGACCGAGCTTCTGGCAGGCCTGGCGGTGCGACGAGGAGCAACGAGGAAACTCATGCGAAACGCACAGACCGACCTGCCGGCAGGCCTGGCGGGTGCGACGAGCAGCAGCGAGGGCACGACCCACCAAGACGGCGAGGATACGAGGACGCGGAGCACGAGGAGGATATGGTTGTGGATGCCATAGCAATGGACATTCTAAGAATCCGATCGTTGAATGAAACATGTGTTTCGAATGTGTAAAACACGATCTAAACATGTTTCCAAACATGTTGTTACATATTTAAAACCTGTTTGAAGCATGCTGTAGACATCTGGAAATTATTTGGCAGCATGTTTCCTCTCCATTACAATGAACACGTATAATAAAAACGGGTGATGAGGACGCAAGGCCCTTGGAGGCCGCAGTTTTTTTTTTAGGGCGGCGGGCGACCAGTGATAATGGCAAGGACGGGCCTCAGAGGCAAGGACACAAGGGCACCCCAGATGAAGGCGCGCGTCCTTACTGGGCGCCTTGACTGGAATCGACTTCCACAAAAGCTGCGGGGGGACAGAGGGCGGGGAGGCGAGGACCTCCAGGGCGGCCGGGAGCTCGCCCGCGGCCTTCCCCTGGCGGCCCTCCCACAGCAGGGCGCAGGCCAGGTAGTCCTTCAGCTGCGCGAGGGCGCCCCCCGACACGCTCCGCCCGCCCGGCGCGGGCGCGGCGGCCTGCCGCACGCCCGCGGCGTCGCGCGGAGCTCCCGGGCGGCGCCGCTCCTCCGCCGGGCCGCGGGCGCCGTCGTCGGGGGCGGCCGGCGGGGGCCCCTCCGCGGCCGCGGCGGCCGCCGCGCGGCGGAGGCGCGCCCGGAGCTCCCCGACGGCCCGCAGGAGGCCCTCGTACTCCTGCTCTGGGGCGCCGGGGCCCTGGCGAGTGGAGCAGCAAGAGCTGGGAGGCAACTGCCCTGACCTTCCAGAGTGATCACAAAATAGCACTCCAGACCTATAGACCTATCTGGACTGCCTCACAACTTGACAGGAATTAGGACGTCGACGTCCTGGTGCTGTTTTTCGGCCCTCCTGGAAGGTCAGGGTAATGACTGGGAGGTCTCCGTGGGAATGGTTGTGAGGAAGAGGGGGCCCCACGGGGGGGGCTGCTGCGCCGGAGGGGGCCGCGGAGCAGCCGGGATTGAGGGGGCTCATGAGCGGGATTTTGAGCGGCCGAGCGGGAGAAAGCCGGATGAAGCCGCAGTTCGGACCAGGGCAACATCAGAACTCTACCTCCCAGGAGTTCCTGCACAGTCTTCAAACTTCAGATCTTCAAGCCCAGGAGTTCCTGCACAATCTTCAAATCTTCAGATCTTCATAGAAAGAGGGGGGCCCATAGGGGTGGGCCACGCATATATGTATATGTATAGATATATATATATATATACAAGACTGCAGTGGCGCTTCGCGCCATGCACCTTGGTCCTTGAAGTTTGGCATGCAGGCGGAATGGCAGGAAGGTCAAGCCGACAATTTAGCGATAACCCCTGGTTGCCTTTTCCGGCATCGCCGCTATAATGATGTTTTTCGTTATCTTTCCTCCATGCTTATTGTTCCTTATGTTCGCCATACCCTGCGCATTCCCCCCATCCTCATCAGCTCTTTTTTGCGGAGGCTCCTCCTTGGAGAGCCTCTAGGAGCCTCACAAAAGTTGTTTCGGGCTTTCTTAAGGCCTTCTGGAGGCCTCCTGGGCGCATTCTGGGGGCCTCCAGGGGCTTCCTCGGGCCAACCGCCGTCTCCCTGAACGACCGAATCACGATTTGGAATTCTTCGGAGGGTGTCTTTGGGCCATCTTGGGCCGCCATGGGGCTCTCTGAGGGCCATCTTGGACCCGTGTTGTGCCGTTTTGGGGCTCTTTTGGACTGCCTGGAAGCCCTTTCGGATGGTTGTGGGGCGATTTGGGAGCCTCCCAGGCGGCTTCGGACGCCCAGAAGACCGCCGTCTTGGAGCGTCGGGAAGCCGAAAAGAGGAAAACCCCACAATTCACTAAAAAACCATAGAAAACAATGATTTTTGCCTCGGGGGGCCTTCTTGGGAGTGCTCTTGGAGGCCTCTTTGGGGCCGTCCTGGAGGCCTCTTGGGCCATCTTGAGGTCACGTCGGTCACTCTTGGAGCGCTCTTGTGCTGTCTTGGGGGTCTCTGGGACGTCTCCGATGACCCCCCTGATCGCCCTAAGTGTGCTGGGAAGGCTTGGCAAAACGCCTTGCGCGACCTGTTGGCCGCTTCGAGGCCCGTCCGGAGGGCCCCAAAGCCCCAGGTCCCGGGAGTCCGGTTTTGGGGGGGGGGGGGTGACGGTTTTCCCCCCGGGAGGCCCGCGGAGGAGGAGGAGGAGGAGGAGGAGGAGGAGGAGGAGGTAGGAGGAAAGGGAAGGAGAGGAGGGAAGGAGTGAAGGAAGGAGGAGGAGTGGTGTGGGACGAGAGGGGTGTGTGTGTGAGGGAGGAGGGAGGAGGAGGAGGAGAGGAGGAGGATGAGGGCAGAGGAGTAGGAGGAGGAGGAGGAGCAGCGAGGAGGAGGAGGAAAGAGGAGGAGGAGGAGGGTGAGGGGGGGGTGGGGGGGGGTGAGGAGGAGGAGGAAGGGAGGACGGAGGAAAGGAGGAGGAGGAGGGAGGAGGAGGAGGAGGAGGATGAGGAGGGAGAGAGAGGAGGAGGAGGAGGAGGAGGAGGAGGAGGAGGGAGGAGGAGGAGGAGGAGGAGGATGGCGGGTCGCCTAAGCCCTTCGGAGAAACCCTCCAGGTCAGGAAGAGAAGGATAACAAAAACGATACAAATCTAAACTGTCGACGGTCTGCGCGGGTTTCTATAGGATCTGCGCTGGGCCCCCCCCCTGGCGCGCAGAGCGCGCCGCGGGCGGCGCGGGAGGCGCCGCCAGGGCGCTCCAGCGCAGATGCAAGACGTGCGTGCGGACCGTCGAAAGTTTATGTCTATGTAATCTTGTTCTTCTTCGAGGAATTGCTGAGGGCAGCTGCATACCCAGACCCCCGACGTGAGCCCCGGGAACCTGGACCCCCTCCCCGGGGACCCGTCCCTGCGCCGTTTTTGGCAGCCCGCGAGGGCCCCGCGAGGGCCCCCACGAGGCCGAGACCAGCGAGCAAAACGCCTTCCCGCCGCGACCTCTGTCACGACGCGACCCGGGGGGCTCTGGGCCTCCTCCCGCCTCGGGCCTCGAGCGTCCTCAGGGCCCTGGCGGCGGTGTGCAGGCCCGTGAGCATCTGCGCGGCCCACGCGAGGCAGCCGGCGTGCCGCTGCGGCTCCGGGCCGCGCGGCGCGCCGAGCTCGGCCTCGAGGCGGCCCAGGGCGGCGCGCACCTGTGCGAGGCCCTTGCGGACGTCGGCGCGCCGGGCGGCGCACTCCCGGGCGCGCGCGCGCCCCGCGGGGACCTGGGCCAGGCCGCGAATGAGCGCGACGGCGATCCTGCGGGGGCCGGGAGCTCGCGAGGCGGGACGGAGGCCAGGGAGGAGGCAGGGAGGAGGGGCAGCGGGAGAAGGAGGGGGAGGAGGAGGAGGAGGAGGAGGAGGAGGGGGAGGGGAGGAGGAGGGGGGGGAGGAGGGGGAGGAGGAGGCTGAGGTGGGAGGAGGAGGAGGAGGGAGGAGAGGATGAGGAGGAGGAGGAGGAGGAAGGAGGGGAGGAGGAGGGAGGAGGAGGAGGAGGGGGAGGAGAGGAGGAGGAGGAGCAGGAGCAGGAGGAGGAGGGGAGGAGGAGGAAGAGGCGAGGAGGGGGAGGAGGAGGAGGAGAGGGATGAGGGGAGGAGGAGGAGGGGGAGGAAGGAGGAGGGAGGGAGGAGGAGGAGGAGGAGGACGAGGAGGAGGAGGAGGAGGAGGAGGAGGAGGAAATATGACGACGGCGAGGAGCAGGCAGGAGAAGGAGAGGACGGCGACGGAGACGACGAGGACGGAAAGATTGAAGAGTTGGGTCCAGAGGAGACAGGGATGGAAAGGGGAGGCGGAGGACAAGGACGAAGAGAAGGGGGTAATGGGCAGACCAGGAGGACAAGGAGAATACCAGGAAAAGGAAAAGAAAGAGCACAAGGAGGCAAGGAGGAGGGGAGAAGGCCAGGATGGCCCAGGAGGAGGGGGAGGCGGGAGCCTGAAGAAGTACGCCAAATAAATTCCAAGTACGTCACTGCGACGACGTACGTACACTTTGGTTTCTGCCACGGCGTCAACCAGACCCACTTTGAACTTGAGAGTCCCGTGGCGGGGCAATGGCAAACCGCGCGGTGACTCCGGAATCCCCGAGGACCTCACCGCACGGTCCGCCGCCGCATGGTCTTGGGGCTCCGGAAGGCCCCGGCCGCCCGAGGCATCCTCAGAGAACGTCTGAGACCCGGCACCGTGCGAACCGTGCGAGCACCCCGCATGGGCGCGCCCGCGCCGCGCACCGATCGAAGCGGGAGCGTCGCGGGGCGGCCGTAGGCCTCGAGTCGTGCCCGTCCCTCGACAGGAGGAGCCCCTCGAGTCGTGCCCGTCCCTCGACAGGAGTTCTGGGCGAACATTGAAAAACATAGCCCCCTCTTCCCAAAAGAACTGCGCAACAGAAACAAAACAAACAACATGCATAAGAATCGTCCCCAGGCTATACCTGAACGATGTTCGAACAGTCCTCCTCCTCTACAGGGACGTGACCGACTCTTAGCTGCCCCGATACGCAGCACGCAACACGTAGCGTATTGATACGGAGCTCAACACGTAGGCTGAAAACGTGGGTCCGACGCGATCCGGCCGCCCGAGGCATCCTCAGAGAACGTCTGAGACCCGGCACCGTGCGAACCGTGCGAGCACCCCGCATGGGCGCGCCCGCGCCGCGCACCGATCGAAGCGGGAGCGTCGCGGGGCGGCCGTAGGCCTCGAGTCGTGCCCGTCCCTCGACAGGAGGAGCCCCTCGAGTCGTGCCCGTCCCTCGACAGGAGTTCTGGGCGAACATTGAAAAACATAGCCCCCTCTTCCCAAAAGAACTGCGCAACAGAAACAAAACAAACAACATGCATAAGAATCGTCCCCAGGCTATACCTGAACGATGTTCGAACAGTCCTCCTCCTCTACAGGGACGTGACCGACTCTTAGCTGCCCCGATACGCAGCACGCAACACGTAGCGTATTGATACGGAGCTCAACACGTAGGCTGA